AAAGGGCCCTAAAAAAAAAAACCTAACCCCAAAGCCCTAAACCCTAAACCCTAGGCCCTAAACCCTGAAACCCTAAGCCCTTCTGGGGTCTGCCCAAGACAGGGGACGACCTGATCCGGGGCATCTCGGGCGGGGAGAAGAAGCGCACCTGCGTGGCGATCGAGCTCATCGTGCTTCCCGGATCTCATCAGTCTCAGACCTTAACCCTGAAACCCTAAAACCCTAAAGCCCTAAACTCTAAAGCCCCAAAACCCAAAACCCAAAATCCTAAAACCCTAAAGCCCTAAACCCTAAAGCCTAAAACCCTAAACCCTAAACCCTAAAACCCTAAAACCCTAAACCCGTTCTTTTACGGAGCTCTCTTCAGGGTGGTATAGGATTTTTAAGGGTTTCAACTCGAGGCTTTAAACAGGATTTCCCCCGGGGCTTCTTGTGAGGGGATTGGAGGCTTGAGCTTTGGGGTTTAGGGTCTTTCAGGTCTCGGGTTAGGGTTTAGGGTTTAGGGATTTCTTGAGGGTTTAGGGTTTAGGGTTTAGGGTTTAGGGATTTCTTGAGGGTTTAGGGTTTAGGGTTTAGGGATTTCTTGAGGGTTTCTTTTGGGCTTCAGTGATTGCTGCAAGGTTTCTGCAGGGGTCGCAAACCCTCATCGAACCTATAGTATCACCTTCATACAGAAACCCCAATCCTTCCCGATATAACCGCTACGTAGGAAAGGATTCCTGCTAGAGTCCTCTGAGGAGCCCTTTAAGAAACTCTAAACCTATTTCTTTTTTATTGAAGCATCGCTGAACCCAAAAGGCAGCCGAAGCTCGTCTTTTTGGACGAGCCGACGACTGGGCTCGACTCCTTCGCGGTGCCTGTGCTTGGCAGTTTTGCGGGTTTTAGTGTCGGGGTTTAGGGAGAGTGGGGTTAAACCCTAAACCCTAAACCCTAAAACCCTTGTTCTTTGGGGTTTCCGATCACAGGTTCTGCCCAGAGAGTAGAGAAGCCAGCGCATTCCATCCATAGATCAAGGCAGGAAGTCAGCAACTCTTCGTCCGGTATCCTTCGGGGAAGAAACAAGTGTCTATGTGTATATACACACGTCATCTACGCATGTACATATGCTATGCGCTCAGAAAGTACATGCTATATGTGTTTGCATATATATGTATGTATGTATGTATGTATGTATGTATGTATGTATTTATGTATGTATGTATGTATATATGTATGTATGTATGTATGTATGTATGTATAGAAATATAAATAAATAAATATATAAATATTATATATATATACACACACACACAGACGAAAAGCCGTTGGCCGCACACCTTCGTCAATTCCAGCCTATCTGGCTCCAGCCTGGCCTTAGCTGCGATGCTGCGCGTTTGGAAAGCTTCTGGGGAGGAGGTGGCTTCCATTCCCATGGAGGAGGGGTGTCCAAGGTTTCAGGTCTGCGGTCAAGAGTTTGGCATTCAGGGTATAGGGTATCAATTAGATTCTAGGGTTCAGGGTTCAGGGTTGAACAGTTTGCTCGGACGCTCTCTTGACTTGGTAAGTATGGTTAATTAGTAAGATGAGTTATTGGAGTTGTTGAAGAGGTTACCGGGTTTCCTGGATGCCTTAGTAGATGTACTAAGTCACCTGAACTTCCAGAAAGCACCCTTCAAGAATACTGTAGAAACTTGAACATCTAGTAGTACTGTTGCATGGGGTGGTTCCTTATTTCTTATACTTTAAGACCAGGGCCCCCCAAACCCCTGTTCCTAACCCTCAACCCTAAACCCCTGTTCTACTTGAGCCGCTACACGCACCCGCCTAGCAGCAGCAGCAACAACACCACCAACCGCAACACGTGTGCTGAAGGAGAGTCGAGAGGATGGGATTAGGGTTTAGGGTTTAGGGCTTAGGGGGTTTAGGGTTTAGGGTGGGTAGATACGAATTCCACACACCCAAAGCCTCGGCAACTGTTTTATGAAAGCCCCGGCCTTGCCCAAAACCTCCCCTGGGAACCTCCAGGAGGCCCGCACCGTGCGCCTCTTGAAGCAGCGCCTGAGCCGGCTCCTCGGCTCTTGCCTCTAAGCCCCGAGCTTAGCTTGGGTATTTATCGCACCCTAAACCCGAACCCGAAAGGCCAAATCACAGCAATACCCCGAAGCATTGCTTTTTTTCTTGGGCACTGTTTCATTCTTGTCATTGTGCATCCTGGCATGTTCTAGGGGTGGCGCTGTCTATCACCGTCACCGTCTGTCCTTTAACCTTCAAGACCTAAGAAGCCCAACAATCCATCCCTGATCATGAAACCCTTGATGCTCTAAGTTCGCAGGCCTGCCTTACTAACCCCTCGACACCTAATTCACATCCTTGAGCCCTAAACCCGACGGTCTTTTCTCGAAGACTTGCGAAGATTTCGGCATCCAGCAAAACCATCTAAAGCCCTCAGAATGCAGGACACTCCTAAACCCTAAACCCCTAAACCCTAAACCTCACAACCCTAAACCCTAAACCCTAAACCCCTAAACCCCTAAACCCCTAAACCCCAAACCCCAAACCCCAAACCCTAAGCCCTACAACCCTACAGCCCTACAACCCTAAACCCCTAAACCCTAAGCCCCTAAAAACCCTAAACCTCTAAAAACCCTAAACCCAAAAGCCCTAAACCCTAAGCCCTACAACCCTAAACATCCCTAAACCC